CTCCCGTGTTCGAGAACACATCGTCCCCTCTCCGACCCGTGCGGGGGGGAAGCTTTGCGCCGAAAGCACGCCCCCCGCCCTCAAATAGGCCTCTACCCCAGCACCTCGCTCGGCGGCGCGCACCACGTGGGCGCCGCGCCGAAGAGGTAGGGGAGCTGCTTGTCCTTGCTGACCGGGCTGCCGTTGAGCCGCTCGTGCAGCTCCTCCCACTCGAGGCGGTTGACCTATGCGAGCCAGGGCCAAAGTGTGAAAACGCGGCGTGGCTGGCAGCGGCAGCGCGGCGCTCGCACACCTCGAGGAAGGCCTCGGGCGACATGGTGCGGTAAAAGTGCTTTGTCCGCTCGCGGACCTGGTCGGCCGCGAGGCCGCGCATGGTGGTGTCCTTCTCGATGAGCTCCTGAGCGACGGCGATGTACTGCGTCCACTTGCGCAGCGAGACGGGCGTGCGCTTCACGGCGGCCCCCCACAGGATGGAGCCGAGCGCGTCGGGCCGCTCGAAGGCCTGGACGTAGGTGTTTGTGTAGAACTTTGCGTACTCGAGCACGGAGGAGCCGAAGAAGGAGTTGAAGGCCGTCTCGTCGATCTCGGCGTCGGCGAGGTACATCATGTTCTTGTCGAGGTAGTTTGAGTGCATCACCTCGGTCCGGCCGGTGAGCTGCTCGCAAAAGGTCGTGTTGCGCGTGAAGCCGATGCAGCCAACCACCTGCGCGGCGTGGGCGGCGGCGGCGGCGGCGGTGAGGGTGCGAGGATGGGGCGGAGCCCGCAGCGGCGTCGGCGGGCGGGGGGGCAAGGGGAGGGCGCACGATGTCGGCCGGGAGGAAGGAGCCATCCGAGAGGACGCAGCCGCCCTCGACCATCGACTCGAGCGTGCCCACCTTGGTGCACATCTTGCCGAGGTGGTGGGCGACGAACCAGATGTCGCTCACGCTGATGGTGTGGCCGTCGTGCTTCACCTTGCCGGGCCACACCTCGGGCGCCACCGCGCCCGACTTGATGTAGCAGTCGCGCCAGCACTTCATCTGCTTGATGTTTGTGAGCGGGTCGTGGCGGTACTGCTCGTCCCACGGCTTGACGAAGTTGAGGTAGTCGATCATCTTTGGGCAGATGGTGCCGAGGCGGCGCGCGACGACGGTCACGTGCGAGGCGCCGGACTCGAGCGCCGTGCGCACGTTCTCGACGGCGAAGGCGCCCATGCCGAAGACGACGACGCGCTTGCCCTGCCACGAGACGCCGGAGAGCGCGTCCGAGGTGCCGTCCGCCATGACGCCGCTGAAGCGGTTCATGCCTGGCACGCGCAGCGGGCGCGGCAGGCCGACGCGGTCGTTGATGGCGAGCACGACGCCGGTCGAGCGGACGACGGCGGCGACGCCCTCGCCGCCGCGCCCGTTGAGGTCCGAGACGACGGTCGTGTAGTCGCCGTTGGTGCCGAGCACCTTTGCGACGCTCACGCGCGTGTAGATGACGTCGGCGAGCGAATCGCCGAGGGCGGCGATGTCCTTGAGGATCTCGGCCGCGGTCGAGTGGTCGCGGTTGTCCGCCGCCTTGCGCGGGCTCCCCTCGGGCAGCAAGTCCTTGATGTTGTAGCCGCCCTCGGACGAGTTGACCTGCGACGTCGAGTTGGCGTACATGGACCAGATCCCGCCGACGATGGAGCGCTGCTCGAGCACGGCGACCTTGTGGCCGTTCTTCTTGAGGCGCGCGGCCGCCATGAGGCCGAGCAGGCCGGCGCCGATCACCACAACGTCCACCTCCTCGGGGAGCGGCTTGGCGTTGCGGCCGTGCAGCAGCGCGCGCTTGTCGAAGCCCGTGTTTGCGAGCATGGCGGTCGAGATGGCGGTCGCCATCGCGGGCGGCGACCCCTTGACGGCGGTGACGCCGGACGGGCTCGCCGCGGCCGCGCCGGCGAAGAAGAGCTCGCACGGCCGGCGCGAGGCGCCCGAGGACGCCTGGCGCAGCAGCGCCGCGAGCCGCACCGCCGCCGACTGCGCCATCGGCCCGACGGCCACGACGGCGAGCGGGAAGTCGACCGCCCAGCGGAGCTTGTCGAAGGCCTCCACCGCCGTCGCCTCGACGCCCTTGCCCGCCGACGCGCCGAAGAGGTCGGTGGAGGAGGTGCGCCGCTGCAGCTCGGCGACGAGCTCCGACGGCGCGGCGCTCGCCGCGTCGCAGATGACGGCGGCGCGGAAGGGCGTCGGGTTGAGCTTGGGCCCGGGCATCGGGACGGGCGCAGACACCTCGAGGAGCATCTTGGTGGCGAGCGCGGCGCCCTCGACGAGCGCCTCGAGCTTGAGCCACGCGATGTCGGACGTGATGGCGGACGACTTTGCGGTGGTCGCCATCCCGCAGTCCGTCCCGGCAATGACGCGCGACGGGTGCCCAACCGCCTTGACGAAGCGGAGCAGCCGCTCGGCGACGAGGGCGGGGTGCTCGACCCGCGCGGCGGTCGTGTCGATCACGCCGGGGACGATCACCTTTGGCGCCTCGAAGAGGCCGCGCGCGCACGCGTCCTCAAAGGCCTTGGCGTCCTGCGCGTGCCGCGGGTTGGCCGCCTCGGTGAGGATGAACTTCGCCTTGACCTTGGCGACCACCGGCCAGATCTCGGCCGCGGCGATGTCGTGGTGGTGCGGGCCGGCGTAGTTGCCCCAGCACACGTGGATGCGGACCTGCTCCATCGGGATGTTCTCGAGCGCGTAGTTGAGCGCCTCGACGTTCGCCTCCGCGACGGCGAGGAAGGCCTCGTCGCTCAGGTCGGCGTGGCGCGTGTGGCGGCCCATGGCGAGGTCGGGGCAGTCGATCTGCAGCTGCAGGCCGGTCGCCGCGATCGCCTCGTACTCGGGCCGCATCGCCTCGGCCAGCGCGCGCACGTACATCACGTGGTCCTGGAAGAAGCGGTCCTCGCAGAAGACGGCCATCGTGCCCGGGGACGGCGCGCTCCAGAACGAGTCGGACGGCGAGCGGCCCGCTGCCGCGAGCGACTCGAGCAGCGGCCGCACCGTCTCGCGGACCTGCTGCGCGCCGGAGAGCACGTAGGTGGGGCGGGCGTGGCACGCCATGTTGGCTTGCGCGACGCGGCGCGGGTTGAGCGTGATGAGCCCATTCGCGCCGGTGAAGCGGTTCGCGTACACGGGCACGGTGCGCATGTCGGTGGCGCACGGCATCTCGCAGACGCACGACCACCCCTCGCTCATCACCACGCCCGCGCCGAGGCCGACGCCGTCGATGCGCTGGAGCATGTCGGCGACGTAGTTGTCGCGGCTCCACTCGCCGTCGTTGATGATGTCGATGCCCACGTCGACCTGCTGGCTGATGATCTTGCCCGTGTCGCTCGCGTTGGGCGCGCGCGGCAGGCTACCCACGTGCGTCGTCTGGATCCAGAGCTTGGGCTGGGGCTTTGGCGCCTCGGCGGCGGGCTGGCTCACGGCGGCGGACGCCTCCAGGGACGGGGCCGCCGCCTCGGCGCCGGGCGTCGAGGCGATGACGAGCGAGCGCAGCTCCTTGCACGCCGACTCGAGCATGCTGAGCCGCTCGAGGACGGCCGAGTTGACGCCCGCGTCGAGGGGCGTGACGGGCGCGACCGGCGGCGCCGGGGTCTTGAGGACGGAGGTGGGCGCGAAGGGCGCGACCCGCGTGGGGGTGACCGACACCGCGATCTCGGTCGGCGCGGTGGAGGTGGGCGCGGTGGGGGCCTGCTCGATCTTGGGCGCGGCCTGCTTGGTGGCGGCGTGGTCGCCGAGCTTGCCGCCCGACACCTTGTTGGCGATCGCGTGGATCGAGGGCGAGTCCATGATGTCGTCGACGGTGATGATGCCGTCGCCAAAGGAGCCTGCGCAGGGGGGGGGAGGGGCTGGGGGTGGGAGACGCGTCGGCGCTTTTACTTTTGGGCGAAGCGCGCCCTCAAGCTGGAGGACGAGCTCCGCGAAGCCGAGCGAGTCGATTCCGAGGTCAAAGAGGGAGGCGGACGAGTCGAGAGGCTTGCCCTCCTGCCCCAGAATTATGCCGCAGATCTCGGTCACAGTCTGCATCGGGTTGGCCGTCATGACGGGGAGAAGGCGTTCCTGCGGCGGGAGGAGGGTGGAAGGTCGGTGAGCTCTTGGCAGGAGCGGCATCCCCGCCGTGGAGAGCGTGTCCCGGAGAGCGCGAGATGGTGTGGAGAGGCACGGGGTGAGAAGCAGACCGTAGAGAAGGTGTTCGTCGACGTCCGGCTCACTTCCCCTTCAGCACATCATCGCCAGCTCTTGGAATATTCTTTGGACACATCCCTGGACAAACAACAACACTCAAACGAAAGAACACGATGTGCAAATATGAAAACTCACATTTTAAACAGTAGAGAGGCTCCCAGGGCTTGGAGGTCTTTTTCAGTTGCAACCATGATGATAGGCAAGGCGTTCAGGGTAGTGAAGAAATAAATTACATCTCCAGGACGGCGCGGCAGGAGAGAGAACGACGAGAGTGCACAGAGTGAGTTGCAGAGTGGGACGACCGAGAGGTACGAAGTGGCATGAAGGTTGCTGCGACAATTGGTTGTGGCGCGTGCGAGAGACTGCGGAAGAGAAATAGGAAGAGCAAGAGGCAGACTCCCAAGGGTGGGCGACGCTGGCACCCCGTTCTCTCCTTTAAATCCGTGTCGTTTCTTGTTAAAATCTCTCTCTCTCTTTCTTCTTCTTGTCACCTGTGTGGTGGCGGCGTGTGCCGTGGTCCTCCCATCCCTCCGTAGCAAGAAAGCAAAGGAATGAATATCGTAGTAGTGTCGACCCGAGATGAGCCGAGATGAGCCGAGATATGACCCCGAGGAGCCGAGATGACAGCGCGGCGTGCAAGCGAGACGCCACCTCCGCCGCCGCAGGGTTGAGCCGCGACGGGCGCAGCACGCGCGGCGCAAAGGGGCAGGCCTGCAGCCCCAAAGGATATGCCCCTCGAGAACACGAAAAGAAAGAAAGAAAACAGTGACCTCAAGGGAAAAAGAAAGAAAGAAAGAAAACACACAACCCAAGGGAGGGATGGGAGAACGGCACGCCGCCACCACACAGGGATTTCACCACACTTGCGAGCAGGAGTTTTTTCTTTTCCTACACGGCCGTTTCATGGTGCGGTTGCCGCCCGACTACCTCATCCTCAAGCGGCGGGAGCAGGAGGACGCTCGGCGCGTCTACGAGGACCACGGCCGCGAGCAGAGCAAGGTCGGCGCGACCACGGCGTTCGAGGTCCGGACGGACGCCGCGCTCGGCGCACGGCGGCTGAACGAGCGGTACAACCGGCTGCGGCAGCAGGACGCGGCGGCGCTGGAGGGCCGCCGCCGCCGGCTGGCGGAGCTGCTCGCGGCGGAGCAGGCCGAACAGGCCGCGGCGCTCGAGGCGCTCGAGGAGACGCCCGAGCAGCGCAAGGAGAAGATGGTTGCGCGGGCCAAGGAGCTGCGCGAGCGGCGCGAGGCGGAGAAGCAGGCCTTCGTCAAGGAGCAGTACGAGCGTCAGTGGCGGCTGTCGTGCGACCCGCTGCGCGCGCGGGACTCGAAGCTCATAGAAAAGGCGACCAACGAGGCGCGCGCGTACCAGCTCGGCGAGAAGCTGCGCGCGCTCGAGCTCGAGGAGGCGGAGGAGCGCGCCTTCGACAAGCTGTGGGAGGAGGACCGACTCTCAAAGGAGGGGCGGGAGGAGGCGGACGCGCTGGCACGGAAAGCGATGGGACGGCAGCACACGGCCATCCTCGACCGCCAGGCGCCGCTCCGCCTCTGCCGCCACCCTGCCGCCACCCTGCCGCCACCCGCCGCCCAGCTCCCTCCTCACCGCCCCTCCTCCCCCTCTCCGCAGGTCAACGAGCTGCACCGCCACCGCGCGAGAGAGCGTGAGCTCTCCGAGCGCGAGGCAGCCCACACCACCACCCCCGCCACCCTCCCACACCACCCTCCCCCGCCACCCTCCCACCCCTCCCCCGCCACCCTCCCCCGCCACCCTCCACCCGCCACCCTCCCACCCCTCCCCCGCCACCCTCCACCGCCACCCTCCACCCGCCACCCTCGCCCTGCCACACTCCCACACCACCCTTCCCCCGCTGGACCCGGCCAGGCGGCGCCTGCTGCGCGAGCAGGCGACGCACGAGCGGGCCGAGGCGGCGAAGGTGGACGAGATCCGGCAAAGATCGAGCCGAGATCGAGCCGAGATCTAGCCGAGAGGTTGACACGAGATCCTGCGGCGGCGGAGGTTGACACGAGATCCTGCGGCGGCGGCCGAGACAGACGCGTCTCCCGCCCACGCCCTCCCACGGCCCATTCTCCGCCCCTCCGCCCCCTTGCCCCCGCAGGCACCGGCAGGTGCGAGACTCGTACGCCGAGCTCGGCGCCTACGCTGCGGCGCGCCAGTCGCTGCTGTCCGAGTCGGAGGCGCGGGAGAAGGCGGAGGAGGCGTAGGACCCGCTCGCGGCCCCTCGCTGGACCCGTCCACGACCTGTCCAGGACGTGTCCCGCAGGCGGAGGACGAGGAGCGGCTGGCGGCGGGGCTGGCGGCGGAGGCGGCGCAGGAGGAGAAGGAGGCGGCGGCGCGCCACCAGATGCAGCAGACGACGCGCTCGTTCGCCGACTCGATGATGGCGCAGAAGCGGGCGATCGAGCGGTCCGAGGGCGCCAACGACGAGGCGGGGCAGGGCTGCGCGCTGCTCGACCTCCGCCCGACCCTTTCCCTGACCCTTCCGCGGCCCCTTGCCTGTAGGCGCGGCAGGCGGCTCTCGACGACGCGTGGGGTGAGCGGGGGCCGGGCGGCGGGGGGTGTCTGGAGGGCGGCGCCTCCTCACTGCCCGTCGCGCGTGTGTGGAACAGGCAAGCGGCTCGCGGTCTGGGGGAGCGAGCAGGAGGCGCGAGAGAAGCTCATGGCGCAGGCGCTCGCGCCGCCCTCCTCCCGCGCCGCCCTCCTCGCACACCCACGCCCCCACCCCCCTCCACGCCCCTCCCCTCCACGCCCCTCCCCTCCACGCCCTCGTCACGCCGGGCGTGGTGGCGAAGGTGCTCGGCGAGCGGAGCGTGCAGGTGTCCCAGAAGCTCGAGCGCGCTCAGCGGGAGAAGGAGGCCGAGGCGGAGGCGCGCCGCCGCCTCGAGGCCGAGCTGGCGGAGATCGAGGCGGCGGAGGCCGCAAAGGCGCGCGCGGCGGCGGCGGCCAAGGCGGACTACACGCGGCAGCTGGAGCACCAGATCCAGCAGCGGAGGCACGGCCGCGCCATCAGCGAGTTCAACAAGGTGCAGGAGAAGGAGAGCGCCGACCGCGCGGAGGCGGCCTACCAGGCGACGCTGCGCTCGCAGCTCGCGCGCACAGAGTCGCAGATGTCAAAGTACGGCCCCTCCTGACGGGCCGGCAGGGGCGCGCGGCGGCGGGCGTGAGGCGCGATCGGCGACGAAGCAAGGACGAAGCAAGGTGGCCCGGGGAATCAGAAGTCACTTCAAAAGATTGATCTTGGTTGGTGGGGTGGTTGGGCTGGGAATTTTGTTAACGCGCCGATTTCTTTTCCTGTGTTAGTGCCAGTGCGCGCGCCAGTCCCGTGCCTTAGTGAGTAGTGTCGTGCGGCGAGGAAGTGGTGAGAAATGCAAATGGTTTTGTCAGTGGATATAGTGCGCGCCAGTGCCAGTCCCGTGACCAGTGTCGTGCGAGGGGTGGTAAAAAATTTTTTCTGCCTAATATTTTAAGAATTTCTTTTGGAGCGCTGCCATTGTGTGACCCACGTCCAAGCGGCGCTTCCGGCCTGTTCCGCGCCTCTTTTTACGCTTTTCATTGGAGAGGGCGGGACGAGGTCTCATCAACTTCGAAACCGCCTTTGAAAGGGGGGAAATGCGTCCGTCCCTGAGAGGGTTGGGAAGGGGGCGGTTTTAATTGCGGTATAAGGGTACGGGGTGTGGACCCTGAGTTGGACAGGGGTTGTGCGCTGGGCCCTCCTGCTCGGCTCCAGCCAGTAGACAAGTCTTGTCATCAACAGAGTAGAAGGATCTGACCTCGGGGCCGATGTGACCAAGCGCTGGTAGCGTGGTTTAACCTCACACCCACGGTCTCACAGTGTGCCGGCAGTCGTCGAGCAGTGTCGCTCACACAAGCCGCAGCACAAGTGACTGAGGGCCAGTGAGGGCGAGCCCATCGCTGTCACAGCTGTGGCAGCCGCACAGTAGGCTGTGCCAACTGTGCAGAGCGTGTGAGCAGCAGAGGAGCTGCTCTCCAAGCTTCAGGCGCAAAGAGCTGCATGCCACCGAAAGCGCTGTCGAGGTTCGCCGAGCGCGGCGAAATCCGGGGACGCCGTCACCGACGAGCGCGTTGGACTTTTCACTCCGGACAAAGACGGGGACACAGCGGACGGTGCGGGGTGTGTCCCCGTCATAGCGGCGAGGCGCGGGACCGTCTGTGGCGAGGTGGGTCGCGTCCCCGGATTTTGTTCAACTCACGGGCCACACCCTGGCTAGTTCCATTTCACTGTGGCACAGCTCGCGTTACAAAACCTTGATTTTGGCCGTTGGGCGAAAAACGGACCTCTCCGTGGCCAGGAGCAGCTGCGAGCTGCACGCCTGATTCACGTCGGCGTCAAAGGAGCGACGTGCGACCTGTCAGTGCTCTATCTCCGATCGCAGCTGCCTCTGCGCGTCCTGGGGATGTACCTTTGTCGCGCGCCGGAGACGACTCGACGCCGCTGAGATCGGAGATCAAGCTCTGACAGGTCGCACGTCGCTCCTTTGACGCCGACGTGACTCACCCGTGCAGATCACATCAGGACACGGTCTCGACGCGCTCGGTACGACGCCTGCGACCCGTCTCGGGTCAGGTGGCGACTAGGTCCAGCCCTGGGTGGCGCAGGTTGTGACATTTGGCGATTCCGCGACTTACTGGGCCCCTGAGCCGCTACCCGTGTGCGATTTTTTGTGGCCCGGACATGATACTGATAGTAAACGGGTCAGAACCGGCCAAACACAGGCTACAGCCCCACACACGCGCCCGCCATAGCTCCTGGAGAGCATGCGCGAGTGACGCGCTGCAAGCCGCGAGAGTGGCATCAGAGGCAGGAACGACGTGCTCTTGCTGCACCTCGCAGCTGCACCAAGTGTGCTCGCAGTGTATGCCACGGCCACTGCCTGCGGCATTGCTCTCGTGCAGCTAGGCGATGCAGGTCCATCAGCAGGGCTCATCCAATGCGAGCGCACATTGTGCGTAGCCGCGGGCAGGTGGCAGTGCACAGCACACCGGCTGTGGCGGCTCGAATGCCCCCGGCAGTGCTGCTAGTCATCAACTTGCGTATTAGGGCCGCAGCAGACTGCTGCTGTGGCAGCAGCAGCAGCCTGCTGCTGCCTGATTCAGTCAAGCCAGCGGTGCAGCGAGGCGTGCAGAATTCGCGCGGTTTTGTCCCTCCTGAGGCTGAGCGCATTCGAGCCCGTCGACCGGAGTTGGATGGTACCACGCGTCTCACTGAGACGCGGGGTACTGGCCATGGCCGGGCTACGGAGCGTGAGGTGGCGAGCGGAGCGAGCGACAAAACAACGAGAAAAACACGGATCTGAGGATTGTCACAAAACCTCAGATCTTGCGCCACCCAGGGCTGGACCTAGTCTGGCACGACGCTCATCGCGCCTACCAGCGCTGCCGTGCAGGTTGCCACGACGAGGTCGAGCACGCTTCTATACGCTCGCCGAGCCTTCCTTTCCATCCCATTTGGCAGCCTGGGAACGGTGGCGGTCAGAGGCAAAGCATACGAGGGGTGGTGGAACCACATGTCACGGCTACTGCCGGCTCGACCCCACGATAGCCTCCGGAGGCTGACTTTGAGGCACAATCATCGGACGACGTCGGCGAGTTGAGTCGCGCTCGATACTAGTATGAGAGCGGTAGCCAGATGACCTCTCATACTAGTATCATCGGCCATGGCCGCAGGAAGCGCGGGGGAGGGCGCTGGGAGCAACACGGAGCTCCGTTGGACGTTTTCAAGATTAGCGTGTCAGAGTGAAATGGAACTAGCCCCTCTAGAAGCATATCACACTGCACGATTGTGTGCGCGCGGCCCGGACCGGCGGAACCACGGCACGAGGCCGGAGTGCGGAGAGCCGTGTATACGCACGGTGTGAATTACATCTCTCACGGTGTGAATTACATCTCGAGAATTACATAGGTCAGAGCTGCGGTGCGGGCGCCCCCTCGACCTTCTTGGGCAGCAGCTGGTTCGACAGGTCCTCTCCGTGCCCTAGGCAGCCTAGGCCGCCACCGCCCCAGGTGAAGACGCTGCCGTCGGCGGTGATGGCGAGGCAGTGGTACTCTCCAGCCGACACAGCGACGACGCGCTGGCCAGCAAAGGCCTCGATCTTCTTGGGCCACGGCGACCAGCAACTGGACCAGAGTCCACCGCCCCAGCTCCAGACGGCTCCGTCGGCGGTGAGGACGAGGCTGCAATTCCCTCCCGCCGAGACAGCGACGACGCGCTGGCCAGCAAAGGCCTCGATCTTCTTGGGCAGCTGCTGGTTTTGCTGGTCGCCGTGGCCCAGCTTGCCCGCGTTCCCACTGCCCCAGCTCCAGATTGCGCCATCGGCGGTGATGGCGAGGCTGTGGGCTACTCTAGCCGAGACAGCGACGACGCGGTGGCCGGTAAAGGCCTCGATCTTCTTGGGCTGCAGCTGGTTCTGCTGTTCGCCGTGGCCCAACCCGCCGATTACACCACAGCCCCAGCTCCAGAGGGCGCCGTCGGCGGTGATGGCGACGGTGTGGAACTCTGCGGCCGACACAGCGACCGCGTGCTGGCCAGCAAAGGCCTCCACCTTCTTCGGCAGCAGCTGGTGCTGCTGGTCACCGTGGCCCAGCTTGCCCGCGTTTCCACCGCCCCAGCTCCAGACAGCTCCGTCGGCGGTGATGGCGAGGCTGTGGCTGCTTCCAGCCGACACAGCGACGACGCGCTGGCCCGCCAAGGCCTCGACCTTCTTCGGCTGCAGCTGATGCTGCTCGTCGCCGTGGCCCAACCTGCCATAGCCTCCATAGCCCCAGCTCCAGACAGCGCCGTCGGCGGTGAGGGCGAGGCTATGGCCAACTCCAGCCGGCACGCTCACGGCGCGCTGGCCGCCCAGCGTCGAGGGGAGGCGGGTCGGCGTGTTGAGCCGCAGCACGCTCTCGCCGTGGCCGAGGAGCCCTGGAACCTCCACTTCGTCCTCATCTTCCTCGTCGTCCTCGTCGTCCTCCTCGCCCTCCACTCCCTCACTGCCGCACGACGAGAGCCGCCCCTCGCCGTCAATGAAGAGGCTGTGCCGACTGCCTGCAACCGCCCTCGCCGGCGGGTTGGACTCGCGCAGCAAGGCTGCGGAGCACAGCCACCGCACGGCGCAGCCCTCGCCCTCTGGCTGCGCCGGCAGCTCGTAGCCGCGCTCTTGCGCCCGCAAGCGGATGCCCTGCCTCGCGAGCGAGGCGTGAAAGAGGAGGGAGACAGCCGCGGCGCGAGCGATGTCGACGGCCTCGCAGCGAGAGACGACGCGCACGAGGAGGTCCGTGGGGAGGTCGAGGAGGCGGGTGGGTGACGGCGTGCTCGGCGAGGGAGCGGCGGGGGCGGCGGGGGCGGCAGGGGCGGCGGGGGCGAGGCGGCGCGAGCGGCGCGTCGGGGCCGACATGACGAGAAGAAAAGGATTTGGCTGGGCTCGCGTACGCGCACTCGAAGAAAAGAATTTAGAAGCAATCCCGTGGTGTTCCTGTGTTAGTGCCAGTGCGCGCCAGCGCCGTGCCCAGTGTCGTGCGAAGAAAAGAATTCTTCCCACACCGACTGCACTCCAAGTGCTCCAAGTGCTCCCACGCATTCGTTCGTGCGCTCGTGCTGCGTGGCGCCATTCTCGCTACAACGCTAAAATAAATAAATAAATAAAAACGGACACCTCTCTACTGCGAGATGGGTAAAAAGGAACAGGCCCCCGCCCTTGCGATCTTTGTGCAGGGTTCTTTGTGGATGTGGTCGGGGCGACTAGCTAGAAAACTAGCGAGATCCGCTTTCTTTTTTCGTGCGGGGGCCCTAGAGGAATCCTCGGACGACCCCTGACGTTTGCGAGCGGCACTGCGATCACGCTGCTGTCACGGAGGAGGGTTTTTGGACAGTCCTCCGTGGAGCGTGGTGACTTGGGGCGACTGGAGCCGCGAATGGCGTACCGGAGTGACGAGGCGCATGTAGGGATCCCTAGCGACCCCCGGGGGTCCCGATAATCGAATTGAGGAGGACGGGCGGTCCCATTGTTGTGTAACGAACTCTCTGAACGCCACACGAGAGTCGTGTGAGGGCCCGGTGCGGGCCCTGTCGTTCAGTCTCGGGCCGCCGGCAGGCTCCTGACTTCAGTCCGTGAGTGCGACAGAGTGTCGTATTCACCCAGCTTCTCGCCCCTTGAGCAAACGTAAGCGTAAGATCCGTCGCGAGAGCGGCAACACTTCTTGGCAACACCGGACTTGGACGCCACCGCGTCTACGCCCACCCTCCCCTTCGAGCGCATAGCCCGGCCGCAAGGCCGACGCAGCATCGATGGGCAAGCAGCAAGACCGGAGCTCCACCCCGCCGGCCGATGGGCCACCGCCCCTCGGCGGGCATAACGGGGTGGAGCCCCCTGGAGCACCCTGGAGCACGCAGGCAGACCGACGCGCAGACGCGCAGACCGACGCGCACGCGCAGGCCGCGCCTCGATGTGGGGGAAGGGATCAGAGTGGTCTGACCGTGTGGAGTGGTCCTGGTCTCGGCCCTCTGTAGTATCGCGAGGCGTCCCTCTTCTCTCGCTCGAGAGATGGTCATCTGAACCCGAAGATTGGTGTTCAGCAAAGTGGATGGTGAGCCGCACGCGGTCGTGTGCGCGGTTGGTTGTAGGTGATGGGTTGCCCGCAGCACTGCGGGCTTCCTCGTCCTAGTAAGACATATTTGTAGAGAGTATTCAAAGTACGAAGGCGTAGTTATACACCGGTGGGGGGAGTGGCGCAATTATGCACCGAGTTGTGACACCACAACAGCAAAGAGGTCGACTGTCTCGCAGCGCGGCGGCCCAGCGAAAGCAGTCGGGAGACTATTACGTGCCAATATTTGGGCGCCGTCGGCGCCCAAAGTGCTAATATGAGGGATCTAGGTGGCGAGACGTGCCACTGCATCGACCCCGCCTCCGCGCCTCTCGACCCCGCGCCTCCGCGTGGGTAGGTTACTGGGAGAAAAGAGAGCGGGCTGTGTTCCCTTTCTGGGGGTCAGACTTCTTGCAAAGTAGAACCCGACCATTGTACATGGCACCAGGGTTCGGACTTTTTGCGGGGTATGGTATAGTAGCCTCGCGCAACCCACCTCGAGACCATACCCCCCCGCCTGCTGACAGACCCAGCCTCCCGGAGACCGGGGATGGGCGGTCAGGACCATACCCCCCCACCTTTTGGGCCGCGAGGTGACCATACCATACCCCGCAAAAAGTTGGAACCCAGCGGCCGACGAATGCGCGACGCGGCCCAGCACACGGACTCTCTGCCCGACGACGTGGTGCAGCACGTCCTGGACTCGCTGCCCGCCCGTGCCCTCCCCGCCGTCTCCCGCACCAGCAGCGCTTGCCCGCTCGCTCGCGCGGCAAGGATCCGTGTGCTGCGCATCCGCGCGTGTCTCTGCGGAGATCCCTTCCGCATCGAGCGGCCGCTCGAGGCGGTGTGCGTGGCGGGTCCTTGCCGCCCGCGGAGACACTGGCCGTGCGAGTGCGCCAGCGGCGGCCCAATCCCGCCGGGCGGCTACCACGAGGGCACCTGCACCGACGTCAGCGTGTCGCTCCGCCAGCCCGAGCACTGGACATTGCTCGCTGATGGGGTGCGGTATGGTGGGCTCCCCTCGCTCGTCGACCTGCGCCTGCACACCACCGTGTCGCCGCCGCCAGGCGGCGGCGGCGGCATCGAATGCGGCTCCGGCGGGCCGTGCGGACCTGCCGGCGCCGCCAAAGCCGCCGACGAGGGCGTCGCCGCCCTCGCGGCCGCGCTCGCCACCGGCCGCTCGCCCGCGCTGAGGCGGCTCGCGTTGGACAATACGGGCGTCGGTGACGCTGGCATCGCGGCGCTCGCCTCCGCCATGGCCACGGGAGCTGCCGGGCTCGGCCAGCTGCGCCGGCTGGAGCTCCCCTTCAACCGGCTCGGCAGCCAAGGCTGCGCCGCTCTGGCGGGCGCGTTCAAGGCCGGGAACGGTGGGTCGCTCGAGTTTGTGCATCTCAGCGACAACGCGATTGGCGACGAAGGGCTGGATGCCCTCGGCCTCGCCTTTCGGGAGGAGGGCGTGCTCTCCAACCTGCGGCGCCTCTCGCTCAACGACTGTGGGCTCACCGACGGCGGCGTCGAGAGGCTGGCGGCGAACTTGCTGCCCCGCGTCGTGCTGCCCCTCGTCGCCGTCGTCGGGCCGCACGCGCGTTGGACGCCTCTGCCCACCCTGTGGGACCTCGAGCTCTCGAACGACGCCGTGGGCCACCGCGGCTTGTGGGCGCTCTCACGCGCGCACATCCGAGAGGCGCTGCCCGAAATCATGGACGTCACCGGCGGTGGCAGGTGGCTCTTTGCTCCCCACGATGTGGATGCCGAGCCCTTCGAAGTAGCGAGTTGACCTGGGCAAATGCGCGAATGTGAAATGTCTTCAGACGAGCTCCGGGCGGCTCCCGACTGTTTACCCCACTGTTTTGCCCACTTCGCGCGCACGTGCGCGCACGTCCGCCCACACCCCCGCGCACGCCCGAGCAGGAAATCCTTCATTGTTTCTCTTTCGACAGCGCATCTGGAGATGTTAATGTACGCAAAAGAGTGGACGCACCAACGATGGGACGGAGGGTGGACACGCGGTCTGAGGGGGGGGGGGCAGCAGCCGGCACTCTTCTGTTACAAAAATTGTATTTTTAGGGGGGCTGTGGGGACTGCATTCGCGCCGCAGTCGCTGGCAGGTGGAGGGGTCCCGGCTGCGGCGAGTATATGGATTTTTGTCGTCGCTGCTTGGCCGAGCTCTCACGCCGCGCGTAGAGGGGGGCCCGAGTTGTAAGGGGCCTAGAGAACACACCACACCCCCTCTCCCTTTTCTAGTAAGCTGAGAGTACGTACACCTGAGAGGGAAGTAGAGAAAAAGTACTTAGGCTGTAGGTATGTTCCCTCTCGCACCCTGCCTCATTTATTTCTTTTCCGTGTTTCTCTACAGCACCCTCTCGTTTGCTCTTGGAGCATGACAATATAATAAGCCAAAACAGGGAGAAAGACGACATCATTGCCAATTTAGAGAGAAGCAGAGACATTTTCTTCAAGAGAGTCGAAAACTAGTTAGAGGCTGCGCAGGCCGTCCCGTTTGCTGTTTGAAACGCCTGTTGCGCTGGCCGCGCTGCGCGCGCGCGCTGTGGCCCGCGCTGCCGGGGCTCTGTCTCACTCTCACGTGCCGCAATATGTGTTACACACGGCGGCTTCTGCCACCTCTCGATTGGTTCTACTTTCTACGCACACCTACCGGGGAAGGGGCGCTTGGGAGCGGGGGCGGGGGCGGGGGCGGGGGCGCGCAGCGCGGCTGCGCGGCGCGCGCAACAGAGGGTAGGGTGGGGAAGACGGCGAGGAGGGGGCGGCGGCGAGCAGCAAGCCGCGGAGAACAAAACCGGCCCACGCCTCTCACTGCGCGCGGAGGCGCACCCCCGCCCACCACCGCCGGCGGCTCGCCGGCGCGCCCGGGTCCATTATGGCGGAGGTCATGCGAGCGCCCGCAAACCCCCGCTTCCTTGCGAGCCTCTCGGGCCTCTCGAGCGACTGCAGCAGGCGGCGCTGGTACCCTCCGCTGCACGCAAAGCCCTCCCTGTCGAGCACCTTTGGCGAGTTTTCAACCACCACGACCGCCGGGCAGAGGTCCTCCTTGCTCCACCGCAGCTCGGAGGCTGCCTCGACGAGCTTGACGACCGCGTCCGCCTGCCGCTTCCGCTTCGCGTAGCACGTTCTTTGGCGCTTGGGCGCTCTGCGGGCGCCACTAAACGGAGCACAGGGCGGGCTGTGCATCTCCAGGTCCACCTAAGGAGCAGCCGCACACCCTCTACGTCCGCGCCCAGAGGGGGCCCGGTTGTGGACTGGGTGCGGGCGGAGAGCTACCCGCGGCAGCGCGGCCGAGGACATCTGCGTGCCATAGCTCTCGCCGGGATCCATGACGACGACGCGACGCCGGCTCTTCTTGCCCTCCCTCAGGCCGTGCACCCGGCGCAGGAATTCGACCGCCGCTGGGTTTTCCTTGGACTCAGTGGCCCAAACGAGCTCGTAGGGGATGTCAAGCTCGTCGAGCGCTGCCAGCACGGCGCCGATGCCCGCGCAGTGCAGGCCGATCCGCAGAGGCTTGGACGCCGTCGGCCTCTCCAGGGCGCCGACATCAAACAGCCGCCGTAGGAGCGCCTATAGCTCGACCTCGGGGTGGCGTCGGGGAGGGCGCCGGGCCCCTCGCCGCCGGGCCGCGTACCTTGAGCGAGAAGAGGCTTTGCGACGCGCCGAGCAGCTTGAGGGCAACCTTGGGATCGAGGGTGAGCAGGTACTTGGCGGTCGGCGTGTCGAGCCTGGAGAAGCCCATGAGGGCGAGGAGGGTGGGCGTGTCCACAAACTCGAGCGTGTCGAGCTTGATCGGCCACGCGTTGCTTGAGGCGCGGAGGGAAATCAGCCCGCGCCTCTACTAGTGTAGCCAAACGTCAGATTCGACTGGAGAGTACCCGGCATGGGCCGGGGAAAACCATCGAGTGCACGATGTTCACACCCTGTGCAGGGAATCATGTATTGGGGGACGGTCGCACAAAACGCTAAACGGACGGTTTCAGATTTGGCCTTTGCGCGCTTTTCTCTGCATAGGCTATCTATATTGTTTTGCTTATATTCTCCCCAGACCATCTATGTTCTCGAGAATATTCTCGAATATTGCCAATATTTTTCCACGCTCTACTCTCCTTCATCTCGAGGCGAGATCGCGATCTCGGCGATCTCAGGCGATCTCGTGCAGATGTTGGGGACATGGACTCACCGTGGTCTGCGTGATCTGATGTCGATCACCACGCCGTCGAGACTTTGGCGAGCGTGCGGCGCGCTGGCAGCGCCGCCGCCGCCTACTCTCCTTCATCTCGAGGCGAGGTCGCGAGAGCTGTATGGAGCTGGGGGATTGGAGGCTCTGGCCGGCTGGGCCACGGCGATGAGCAGCGCCAGCCGCTGCCCAAGAAGATCGAGGCCTTTGCTGGCCAGCGCGTCGTCGCTGTGTCGACGGGAGTCGCGCACAGCCTTGCCATCACCGCCGATGGCGCCGTCTTTGCCTGGGGCGAGGGCGAGTATGGCAGCCTAGGCCACGGGGAGGATGTGTCGAACCAGCTGCTGCCCAAGAGGGTCGAGGCGTGGGCGTAGTGAGATGGTCGGGGCTCTGTGCGCCCAGCCTGTGCGCCCAGCCCCTGGTGACGAGCGCGAGGCCGACTTGGCTCTGGCGCATCTCGGCCCTTGTCGATCCAAAACAAACAAAGAAAAAAGCCAGCGGAATGGGAGGACGGCACGCCGCCACCCCACACAGGGTTTGGGTCGCGCGCCCTAAGTTTTGTTTTTATCGAGCCTGTCTGCTGTGGGCGTGTCGGTAGGTTATGAAAGAAAGAAAGAAAGAAAACAGACAACCCAAGGGAGGGATGGGAGGACGGCACGCCGCCACCACACAGGGATTTTAAGGAGAGGTGTGTGGTGCGCTAGCCGTCGCCCACCCTAGGGAGTCTGCCTCTTCCTATCTCTCTTCGCAGTCTCTCGCCGCTTCTCGCTGCAACCTTCATGCCACCTCGGTCCTCGCGGTCGTCCCACTCTCGTCGTTCTCTCCCTTGTCATTTCCTCCTCTGTCGCGTCGTTCTCTTCTGCCTCGTCCTGTGACGCCGCCGCCTGCCGGTCCCTTGTTCTCGCGGCTTCTTTCGCCTTTCGGCGCAACTCCGTCCTCCTCGCGGCGTATCCTGGCCCCTCGAGTCTATCGAGCTCCCCTCGCGCAAGGACCACATTTCTGACTCCCACTCCGATCATTTGCCTACAGGTCATGTTGTTGCTCAGGTCCACTCTCTCTTCGAACACTCGTGCCGTGCCCAGAGGCGTGCGAGGGAGTCTTGCTGTAAAATTCTTTTGTGTGTGATATATCAAAATAGTGTTCTCGCTCCAAGTGCTTGCGCTTCGGCGGTTTAGTGTGGTAGACAATTGTGAGAAATGCTAAAGGTTGGGCGCTCCGAGACTACCCAAAGTGATAAAAGTCGCACTCTCCCCTGACCCGATCAAAAGCACCCGAGGCCTAACCCTCACACAGCGCTCACCTCGCGCCTCACAATCTCACTCTCGGTGTGTAGGTGATTGTCAAGCCCAATCTTTGCACGGCGAAGGGGCCCGGTTCTGCCCAGTTTGGCGCCGCCCAGCCGCTGCTCTGCGACCCCGCAGTACTTGCTTCCCCGTCGCTGACGGAAAGGTGCCCGAAGTCGAGGTGCAGCGACTCTTCCCTGTGGTGCTCCAACGCGGCCTGGCGGTGGCGCCGCATTGCCAGCGCGTGCGGATCGTCTGCCGTAAAAGTGAGCGTCTCTACAAACATGGTGATCGCCTTGCAGAACTCTCGTCGGTTGTGAGCCTACAAGAGAAGGGTGTGCTGTGATTCCTCCCTCCCGCGTACGGTGAGAAGGGTGTGCTGTGAAACATGGGCGCACCAGTGCTTCAGGCGATCGATGCTCGGGGGCGTCGCTGCTTGGGTCGCACCCACCGGGCGGGACGTACGTCACCGCCGAGTCGTCGCACAACTTCAGGTGCGCCTCGAACTCGCCGCCAATCTCCTCACGCCCGGGCGGCAACGCCGAGACAAGCCCGCAGAGCAGCCGCTCACATACCTCGTAAGGTTGCTGCTGTCGCAAGGCCGCGTCGAGAGCCTTGGCGCACACCAGCGCGAAGTGCTCCTCCGCGCCAGGGCCGGCGGCAGCGACGGCAAACTCAAACACAGGGCCAACCTATGTTGCAAACACTCATGAATACTACTCCACAAATCTCCGGCGGTCGGTCGAGCAAAACGCACCTATTCGCGATTAATAGCGTGATCCTTCCGAGTAGGCCCCAGCCCGGGCGGGCGGTCGAGCAACCATGAGGTCGTCGCTGCTCAGCCTCACCATCCATAGCGGACGGCTCTCCTCCTCCGCGCCGCCTTCAGCCTCCTCCGCGCCGCCTTCAGCTGGGAGGGCGCCATTTCTTTTTAGAAATGGCGCCTCCTGCACCAGACGTCGCCATCCCCACAGCTGCTCGTGCTCGCCGCGGTCGAGGCCAGTGAAGCCCACCGTTGACGAGCCGCCGCTGCCGCCGCCGCCGCCGGAGGGCGCCGCCGCCTCCTCGTCCGCCGGGTCAAGCGCCCGAAGCGGCGAGGGCCGGGCCCCGCGCAGCACCCTGGCCCCTGTTTTGATGATGTCGGCGACAGCGGCCTCCAGTAGCCTCGGGTCATCCCTCTCCGCAGACTCCTCGACGGGCGCAATGTCACGCGCCACCCTAGCCGCAGCCTCGTGCGGCGCGCTGGGATCGGCCCCGGCGGACGACGTCACTGCTCCAGCACTGCCGCCCGCCGCCCGCTGCGACGGCGCCTGGCTCGGCTGCTCGCCCAGCAGCCCCGCGCGAGCTGGAACGGACATGTCAACGGGCATGTCCTCCTCCTGGCACTCGCTCAGCTCCGCCTCGAGACGCGCGCCCTGCTCACAGGTGGAGCTGCGGCTGTGAAGAGACAGGTCACGCCTGCAGCTAAGAGACAGGAGCCCCGGTGCCTGCAGCCCCGGTGCCCCGACTGTATCTCGGCTGTGTCTGGGCTGTCCCTTGGCTACACCGGGCTCGGCTGTATCTCGCTAGTGCGGGCGCCTCCGCCTGCGCCTCCGACGCCGCAGCGAAGGTCCCGCGCCCCTCGGCTTGGGGAAGGCCCTGCGAGGGGGAGGCGTGGCGGGGAGTCAGGCCATATGCATCTCGGCTACACCTCGCGATCTCTCGGCGATCTCTCGGCGATCTCTCGGCTGTATCTTCTCTCGGGCTGTATCTTCTCTCGGGCTGTATCTCGGTTGCAACTCGGCTATCTCTCGGCTATACCACGGCTGTATCTCGGCGGCAGGACGGGCCTGGAAGGAAGAGGAGTCGGCAGGCTGCCCCTCCGCCCCCCAGCCCTCCTCCTCGTCCACCTCGTCCACCTGCGGCCACACGCGGCAGACGCGGCAGAGGAGGGGGTGAGATGAGGTCTGGAGATATCACTACCCGCACCTCCACCATCCCCACCTCTCCCGCTCTCCCCTCCCCCGTTGCCGTTCGCTCCCCCACTGCCCGTAGGCCCCCAAAGATCCC